CGACAGCGGCCAGCTCCGCAGCAGCAGCGGCCTCGTCATCGGCGGGGAGGACTCGCGCAGTCGGTCGTGCCCCGGCAGAGGTGAGCGCCGCAGGCTGAGGATGAGGATGGCGGAGCAGGGTACCGACGCGGATAGAGGAGGAAGCAAGAGGGAAAGGGCGCCCCTGGTCCGGGGGATGCAACTGGCTGGCTGAGCGAGGAACCGTTCAGGTACTTCGTGGCCTAGATTGTTGGTCAGACACCTAATGGCTGCCGGCGGTTGTGCCACCAACGAATGCCTGTTGGGCTAGCGGGCTGCATATCATGTCGTTGGAATAACAACTCATCCCATCCCAAGGGCAAAATGTTGTTGGTGCAGTAACACATTTTGTGGTGTGGTGGTGGGGGGGAAGGGGGTACGCAATATTATTGCCAGTGCATTCTAGATACAGCATTATGGCCTACCCAAAAGATCGGGTTACATCAAAAGAGCCGTTAGGACCCCGAATGCCCGATGACCCTGATCCTTTTCGGACCCCGTAGTATTTCTTCTCTCCCCAAAAGGTATGTGAACCTCCACTAAAATAACGGCCCGGGGCGCCCTTGGTTGGTGGTGGGAGGGACAGGCAGACAGACCCGCAAAGCGCGGCCGCGCGGTGGGCCTGCCTACCCGGGCTGCGCGCGGCGTTCTGAGCGGCGCCCGCCCCGTCCCGCCACGCGCCGACCCCTGTTGCTCGGTCGACAGACGTCCGCTGGCGGCTGACCACCCCTTCGTCCTGGCTGGACCCCGACAGCTGGGAGCCCGACGGGCGCCCGGCCGACCCCAGGGATCTGGAGGCCGTGCCGCACCTGGAGCGGATCCCCTGCGGCCAGGATGTGGCGGTGTTCAGGGACAAGGCCTTCCTCGTCGTCGTCCCGGACTTCCCCGTTCGCGCCGCGGCCTTGGCCTTCGAAGGGGTATGTACCGTCGCCTCTGCTCTAGTGGTCTCTCTGACCTCCCTGACGCCCCTGCTCGCCTGACACGCGCCTAAACGACCGTCGACCGTCGTCCAACGCGTGTCCACAGACCGTCTACACCTCGGGGACGGGCTGGCTCCTGGGCATCCTTCTGAAGGACGCGATGCTGTCGAGGACCTACTTCACGCAGCTCCCGACCAAACTGATGGCCAGCAGCGTGGAGCAGGTGTCGTCCCTGGCCGAGCAGTGCGGGCTCGGCGTGGAGGAGGGCGCGGACGAGCGGCACGTCGAGCGGGCGGGCCAGTTGGCCGCGGACGAGCTCATGGCCGGCGTCTGCCTGCACGTCACTTGCCCCGTGCCCCGGTGCGCGGCCCCCGTGCGCCCCCACCTGCACTGTTGTTTCGTGTGCGGTAGGTATGGGCTGTCGATGATACGCGTGGGAGGGCACGACATGCTGTCATGGTTTCTCTTCAGGTTCAACGCCAGAGGTCCAGTCCTCGGCGGCCGGGGGGGCGCGGCCGTTTCCAGTAGCTTCATCTCGCCCTGTATTACACCTTGCCGTTCTCAGGTGCTGTCCTGGAGCTGAGGCCCGTGCCGGACAGGGCCGACCTGGACCGCATGCGCCAGGTGCTCCGATCCGAGGCGCTGCGCTACGAGACGCGGTGGGGCGCGGGGTCGGCCCCGGGTGTGCACCTCGGCGTGGTTCCCTCCCCGAGCGGCGGCCGCGGCCTGGCGCAGGTCGTCTTCGTGGGGGAGAACGCCGAGGATATGGCCGCCATCATCCTCGCCGACATTCAGAGCAGTACGCGCGCCTCCCCCGTTCCCACGCACGCCCTCGCTCGCTTGCTAAATGCTTGACTGACCCGCCTGAATCTCCGCCCGCAGTTGTATCGGCAGATGAGGCGCGCCTTCTGGTGTCCGGCGCCATGATAGCCCCTGCGTCGGTCGGCTCGGTGCTGGGCGTGCTGGTCGGGTCGCTGTTCGTCGTCCTGGTGGCGATGGCCGCTATGGTGTACTTCCATTACGGAGCCCTTCCTCTGCCGTCTCGCCTGGAGGGGTGAGTACTGGCGCCGACTGGCGCCCACGTTGCGAGGCGCCATCGCCGCGCCACGACCACAAAGCAGGACCTCAACCTACGCCTGCTTCTTCTAGTTTATTCCTCAACGAGAAGCAGACGTCGTTCCTGTTCGCGCGGTTCGAGAACACCCCCGAGGAGAGCGGGGCGGTGGTCAGCGTGCTCGGCCGGCCGCAACAGCCCGGGGTGCGCTCTGCGCGCGGCAGCTGGTCCGCCCGCTCCTTCAGGAACCCCCTCTACGAGCAGGGGCAGTCCGACGAGGTGAGTCGCGATGCCAGAGCTCGGCGGCGGCATGTCCCCGTTGATCTTGACGATCTTGACTTGACTTGACTAACCACGAGGCCGCTATTGGCCCAAGGTTTTTGGTCCGACCGGAGCCGTCCAATTATCGCACTCACCCCGAGTTATTGTTCTCTTGGTCCAGGACGCGGCGCCCCCTCCGCCCCCACGGGGCGTGGCGCACGAGAACCCCCTCTTCTCGGCGCTCAGGGAAAAGCTGGATGGGTCATCGGAGCATGACGAGGAAGGAGACCAGCGCCAAGGGGATGACACCACCCTGGGGGTCAACCTCGTCGACATAACTCTGTAGTAAACTATGTGCTTTTAAATATAGATTTATGTCTCACGAACAAGTACAGTCGTGCAGGTATCGGGGGGGGGGGGGAAGTCCATGCACGTGCACCCACGTTCTTCTCTCAATCATTTCATTGGATCTGTTCAGCATCGAATACGGTTATTATACCTCTTCAGTTCTCACTTTGCAGATCGAGACACTTGGCTCGTCCCGGGCTCTATACGTATTTTTCCCCGAGTAAATAAATGCAATATGCACGCACTACACGCAGTATTTAAATAGATCGCGAGAAAAGCAAGCAATAACACATTTTCAGTTTGGGCCGCATTTGGCCGCCCCGCCCTCTACGCCAAAAAGGGGCGGGTGGCGGCGTGGAGTGGTGGCCCACGCGGCAGGGCATTCATACCCCCCCCCCCCTTTTCCCAACAACACGAAGCCACGAAGCCGACGCAACGCAGCTGATGCGGCGATACGGTGCACTACTGCAACCTGTCGCTGTCGCTGTCGCGGCGCGCGAGTGGATGGTTAGGGTTAGGTCAGTCGTTTAGTTTCGACGACAAAATTGCAGGGACTAGCGATATGAATCGGCCACTAGTCTGGGCGACCCAGCAGCCTTATGGAGGAGAAACAATTTTTGGTAAAATCATACGAAGGGAATCACCGGCGCGAATTCTTTATGAGGATCAGCAGGTAAGAGTAACCATATAGCTGAGATGTCAAACCATATCTCAGTCTTATCGGTCGTATCAGTCTAGTGACAGGAGCTAGCATTCAATCTAACTGTAAATAAAACCTTGATCATTTTTCATCGATCGCATTTCGAAAATGTGTCGTTGTAATGTCTCATTGTTGCTTTGTTTGATGATAATATGATGCCAGATGGCCAGTGTTAGTTTGTTCTTTTACAGAATTGTTTTGTACTGTCTAACATTCAATAAACAAGACAGAGAAAATGACAACCCTTTGCTCATGCCTACTGCGATTTGACGAGTTGAATTAGAATCCCTTAGTCGAGGCTAATAGTCTTTGGATTTCTCAACATTGTCTCAAATGTTTGCTCATATTTATCTTCCCCCTTTTTCAGTGCATTGCGTTTCACGACATTGCACCTCAGGCACCTGTCCATTTTTTAGTCGTTCCAAAGAAGCCTATCCCATCCCTTTCTGCTACAGAGGATGCCGATGATATGGTAAGCCTTCTAGACATTGCAGTACATTGCACAGAAATTTGACACCATTTAATCATTTATCAACGTCTAATTTAAAACAATTAATTTCATTTTCAGCTCTTAGGTCATATGATGATTATTGCTAGACGCCTTGCCAGACAACAAGGCCTTTCTCAAGGGTATAGAATTGTTATCAATAATGGCCCTCAGGCTTGTCAAACAGTTTATCATCTTCATCTTCATGTTGTGGGAGGACGACAACTTAAGTGGCCCCCATGCTAACTTATTAATACAATTAATTCAATCTTGACACACAATTTTTTTGTTCTTTTATCCCTGAGGATTTTCTATAATGTCAAAATGATTTAAAGCCCTATTGACCAATGTGATTTACACAGAATTAAATGAATTTTAATTGACATGAAAATTAACTTCCTATCAACTGTTCCAAGTGTACTGTTTTGTACGTATTATTTTCTGTTTTTGGAAGAGATAAATATATGTCTGTTCTATTCCCAAGAAAAAGTTTCTGTTCATTTGAATGTTTTAAGTACACAGGATAATTGATCCATTGCAACTGTGTCAAGCACTAACAAACAATAACAGATCATAGA